CCAGAGAGGCAGCAAGTGCAGCATAAAGAAGAAGGGATCCTGTGACATCTTAAACAACATCAAGGTTGTTACACATTCTCACGGCTGTGAGATTATATATAAAATTTTATTGTGTGCTGAAATGGATAGGCTCACAATGGAAATGAAGGATAAGACAGAATCAGACTATTTCGAGATCTGGGACAAATTTTATCACTGGTGTGAATCAAGAACTGCTCGGGTTTTAAATTAGCGTGAAGATAGAATTATATATAACTGTATATATAACTGTATTGTATAGAAGAATATGTTTATATAGAGATTAAGAATTATATATTAATTATATGTATTAAGAGGAACAAACTGTTAGGAATATTTATTTTGGAACGTCACGTTATGTTAAGGTGACCAACTGTCCTCCTTTAGGGAGGACAGTCCTCCTTTTGTAAGTTCTGTCCTCCCTTGAAAAGTGTCCTGCTACATATCCTCCTTTTTAATATTTGAAGACTAATCTGCAGGGCTTTTTTTTTCTCATAGAAAACACTCAGAACGGCGTTCCGGCACCTTTTTTTTATAGATTTTTTTCCAACTTTTGCATGAGCTGTGCTACTCCCCCTATTGGCTTTCAAAAGCCAATAGGAATTGCTGCTGAGTGCGCCAAAACACCCAGCCAACAAACTTTGCACATGCAAGTTGTCTGCAGCGAAGGTGAATTGGCAGGAACCTCGCACCCCTCCCTGCTACCCAACTACACCATTTCCTGGTTAGTTCCGAAGATACCTGGAGGAGACTGGAGCGGTAAGTTTCTCTTGATCTTCGGCTCTGCTAGGGCAATAATGGCTGCGGGCACAAGAGGCAGGGGTGGCGGGGTGCTGTGGGCGGAGGTGTGAGGGGCGGCAGCGGCCGGCTGCCCCCCGTGCTGTGAGAGCCGCAGGGCCCTCTCTACACGGGGCTGTGCAGAGTGGGTGGTGGTACTGGTGGGGCGGCTGCAGGCAGGGTATGTCGACAGCAGGCTGCCCCCCGAAGCCGGCGCGGCTGGTGCTTTGGGAGCCGTGGGGCCCGCTCTACACGGCAGGAAAGCAGTGCTGGTGGGGCAGCTATGGGAGGGGGCGTGGCAGGCAGTTGACCTTCCATGGGCCGGGCCAGCTTTTACGATATTTTTTTCTTCAATTTATTTGTGTCCTCCTTTTCATTGTAAAAAAGTTGGTCACCTTAGTTATGTCCATCCTTGTTTTTAACTGTATTATAAATAAAAAACTTTAAAAAAAACATCAAGTTACAGCATAAACTTCCATGAATTACCATATATACCATGTGCCCTGAGATGAATGTTTATATTTAACATACTAGAGCTGAATTCCTTTGGAATTAACAGTAAATAGTGAGACAGCCATTCAATAGTCAGGACTGGTAAAGCTGCCTCAAATATCTTTGTTGACCTTAAGAATCAGAAACAGAGATAATGCCACAGAACAAAAAACACTTAACAAGTACTTTAAAATTACATTAGAATACACTTTCCAAGTTGAAAAAACTAGCTTATTTAAAGTTAAGGAATACAGTAGCGCTATCAGAATAGAATGAGAAGGCTGGGGACTAAGTCTCTCTTCCCCACACTGCTCTATAGATAGTCCTCAACTTACAATCTTTCATTTAGCAACTGCTCAAAGTTACATCAGCATTGAAAAAAGTGACCTACAAATGATTCTTGGCCTTAGACTGTTGCAACATACCTATGGTCACATTAAAATTTAGGCACTTGAGCAACTAGCATGGGGGTCTTCTGATCACCATTGGTGACTTTCCCAGCTAGCTTCTGACAAGTACAGTCAATAGGAGAAGCTGGATTCACTTAACTACTGCATGATTTACTTAATAACAGCAGCGATTTACTTAACAACCTTGGCAAAAAAAAGGGTCATAAAATCAACCATGACTCACTTAACTGCTTTATTTAACAATGAAAATTCTGGTTCCAATTTTCTTTTAAGTCGAGGATTCCCTATATCTGGGGTAGGCAACCTCGGCTCTTTTATGACTCATGGGCTTCAACTCCCAGAATTCCTGAGTCAGCATAGCTGGGAGTTGAAGTCCATGAATCATAAAAGAGCCGAGGTTGCCTACCCCTGCCCTATACAGATAGTCCTTGACTTACAACTACAATTGAACCCCAAATTCCCTTGCTAATTGAAACATTTGTTAAGTGAGTTTCACCCTATTATACAACTTTTCTTGTAACCACAGTAGTTCAGTTAATAACACGGTTGTTGCTTCCCCATTAACTCTGTTTGTCAGAAGGTCACAGAAGGTGATTATATGCAACTGTCATTGCAACTGGGTCACTGCAACTGTCATGAGTTGTTGCCAAGTGTGTGAATTCTGATCTCATGACCATGGGGATGCTGTAGTATGAAAAATGGTCATCAGTCACTTTTTTCAGTGCCGTTATAACTTCAAACAGTCAGTAAACAAACTGTTGTAAGTCAACGACTATCTGTAGTTCCTTTCTTCCTATTTAAAAGAATTTTTTTTAAAATCTGCTGGTTTTCTTCCTATGTGCTGCTCTCTAATAGGCATGTATAATATTTTGTTTGTAAAAACAAAGAAAAATAATCCACTATTTAGATATACATATCACTACAGATCTTTACAGAAGGAATAATGTGACTCTTCATTCTGTGTCTGAGAGTTTCCTGAACTTTTAACAGTGTTTGCAAGATTGCTTAGTAAACAGTCTGCTACAGAAAAGGAATCCTTTATTTCCTTCCTGCAGAACAATTAGGAAGCAGGAAAATGGAAAACATAGTATCTGCTTTGAAATCATTATTTCTAGATACTTTAGGGCAAATCCATTTAAAATCAGAGTGCACATTCTGTGAAACACTTTTGTTTGACAGCATTAAGATGATACCAATTAAAAAATCTCAAGTTCCTTACTAAGAAAACAACACCGGTGGTGTAAGATAAAGAAGAGTATCTGACTATTCCTTTACCTAACTAGGTTTTATCAAAAAGGGGGCCTGATCCCCCACTAGCTGTAACATCATACAACAGAACTGATAACAAATATTATTAGGCCAGGAAGACTGGTCTTGGTCCTTTTCCTAAAATTTATCTCCATCCAGTTTATTTATGGAACAAGTTCCTTAAAGGTTATACTGATGTACTATGTGTCTCTGTCAATTTACTATTTGATCAGTTAATAAAACATGCATCTTTTTTCTAGTTTATTATCAGAAAAATAGAACTTCCGCTATAATAATTTTAAAAAATCATCCATCTGCTATTTGTAATATGAAGATGTAATAGACAATTGTTGCACTCAGGCATAATTCATGCACAATCAGAATGATTTTGCCAATGCTAATACTACTGCCAGAAGCTATTCCACTTGAAAAAATTGGCACCATTCAACTCCATATTTATACAAATAAGGGAACACTTTTTTATTTTACTTTACTTAGTAAATATTGTAAAAAGGGCAAGATATGGATACCACTTAACTTTTGTTTTTCAATACATAAATCATAGGATTTTTTACTACAGTTCCTTCTACTTCACCTTCCAAGAAATATATGTCCCCTTGATGGAGTTTATAACATCAACAATTATAAAGGCATTATTTGCAGAGAAAAATATGCATAATAATTTCAAGCCACCAAGTCTTCCAACTCTTATGATCTGCCAAAATGGCAATATTTCATCATTTTAAAGCAATTATTAATATTAAAGAATTATAAAGTATAGAAAATTAAATTAAAACAGTCAACGGTTAATACTTCTGTGATTATTCAATACTGATTTAAATTCTAGGTGAAATAATATTTATTAAAAGCATTAGAATATGTTTTCTCTCAATGTATTATTCAAGCAAATAAGGGTAAAATGGGAATGAAAGAGTATTTTCTGCCAGTAATTATAGGAGCACTCTCACATTTTTGTAAGGGGATGCCAACTTGTCAGTTTTATATTCCAGGATCATTTTTTTAAAAAGTCAGAATTCACTTTGCCTAATTTGTATTAGCCAAGTAGAATATCCAGTATTATCTTCTCTCTTAGTAAATGATTGAGCAAACTATGTAGATATAGATGTATCTCCCCACAGATGAGCAATTTTTAACTAACCAAAATACCACAAAGCACCAAAAGTGATGATTGAATCGTTATTCAGTGACTGAATAATCATTTTAAGTGATAATGGCTGGTGTTTCAAAGTTCTTTAACTTTGCTTCCAAACACATTAGTGCAGTATTTCACTATTTTGATTTATCTTTATGATGCTATTGTCCAACTGAAGATTCTTTCATTTTTTTTCTAATTTTTTAAAAAGCCAATAGGAAACTCTATACTGTAGCCTTTACCTTCAGTATAGTCATAATAATTACCTGACCAATTTACTCATTTCTGGCATATTGTGTCCATTGCAGGAAAATTTACAAATGGCAGTCACTAGCTTTTTGCATTTTCAAAAGCCTTAATACCACATTAAAAATTAAAGTTATGCTTGCACTAGGCAATGTCAGAAAGCAGGTCTCCAACAAAGTAAAGTTAGATGGACACAGCCAGCTTAACAACCAGAAGACATCAAACGCAGGTCCAGAAATACACCGTGATGCAGTGACAGTTTTTAGTGAAACTTGTTTTGGAAGTAGCAATTTTGACCCCTTAAAAGCAATCATAAATCTGACTGTCCTGCGTGCGGAGAATTTCTACAGCATCAGCCCATTTGAGAGAAAAAAGATCTTATGAAGACGAATGGGAAGCAGAAAAAGAAAAGTGAGAGAGATTATATGCTGGGTCCCATAACCTTTAGGATGAGCATCAATCTAAAGAAAAAATATTTGTAAGAGTGGAAGGAAAGATAAATAAATGATCGTCGGCGCCACACCTTAGCAAGTCCGCGGGGTTCGAAAAAGCGGGGGCAAGGCAAGGAGTGAGAGTTAGTCTGTATTCTTTCCCTTAACAGTGAAAACCATGGGGTTCTTTTCACCACCGTGCAAACAACCCTCTCCCCTTAGTACCTGCTTTGCCAACCTTGGATGAGGTTGGTGTATTTGCTCAAAGTCCCCTCCAAAACTGCCTCCGTTCTCCTGCCAGCTGCCAGTCCCCCGGGAGCACCGTCGCCACAGCCCCCTCCTGGACTGGCCGCAGTTGAACTGGGGCTGCTGCTGCTTCCTCCATCCGGCCTCGCGGCCACTGCTGCAGCCGCCGCTCCTCCTTGCCGGCCCGAGAGACCCCGACTGGTAGAAGAGGAAGGCGAGGAGCCCGCTGACGTGGGGCGACTACTACTCCGGCTGCTACTGTTACTGCCTCCACCGCTGCTGCTAGCTGTAGCCGCGGCCGCTGACACGTTGTCTCCGGCGCTTTGCACCGCTGTAGCTGCCTTCTCCATAGAGTTTGCAGGGAGGCTCTGAGGCAGCCCCAGCCCTTGCTGCAGATTGTAGCTGCTGCCGGCAGGTAGGGAAATATCCGAGTCATTCGCTAAGAAAAGGGGAGAGGAAGGACTGGGCGATCTTTGCGGGAACCTCCTTCTCAAGGGCTTTTTGCGCCCACAAAGAGGAGGCGGCGCCGGCGCTTTGTGTCCAGTGGCGTGGAGAGATCCGCCCCGCCCGCGATTCTCCCTTGAGGCCGCCCTCTTGCTCCAGCCCTAGTTATGAATCTCTGAGGCCCGCGAAGAAGGCCGACCGCGAGCGACTCTCACAATGCTACGAAATTTGGGAGGAGGTAAGATATATTCGCGCCTCACTCCTACTGCCAGCGCCGGCTGCCTCTGCTCCAGCGCATACGCTTTTTAGAAGACTCGTCCAAGGAGAGTTCAGCCGGAATAACTTTTGCGTCAGGGTTCCGGAGTTGAAGGCGTGTGGAGCAGCAACCTCGGTGAAGATCAGGCTGGTTGGTTTTATAATTTGGCTTAAACCGAAGACAACAAGCCATGCCGAATAGGCAACTCCGCTCAGTACTAATCAGACTGCCCTTGAATGGCATTTGGCAGAAGAGGCCCGGGCAGAGCCCTTGTCCCACCTTCTGCCTGATCGTGGGTTTATATGGTAGCATATAAAATTTGTATATGCAGATTTAGAACAAATACTGTACTTTTTAAAGCATACGCCTTGGCAAACGGAATAGGAACTAACTTTTTGATTATTTATGCCACCTGATACAATTCATAACTTCTCAAGATTAAATCCTAAGAAAAGCTGTTCTACTTATTCAGTAGAGCAGGCTTTTCCAATCTGGGTCTTTCTGAACTTCTGATTTATAAACTGCATCGTGGTTTGCTGCTTGAAATGATAAACTTTGTGAGACCTTATGGGAGTGAAATAATAGATTGTTGCATTTCAGGCTAAAATTTTAATCCAAGCTTGATTTTTAAAAAGTAAAAAGTCCACTACAAAGAAGATTTGGATAGGAACATGTGTGTATTAAATGCTAATTTTCCCCTTAAAATTTTTAAACAAAGTCTTTCCATATCTGAATTTTTATAATTTCTGAATTTTAGTGAAACTAATTTTCTAAGTTCACATAAAACACTATACCATAAACTGAACACTAAACTGAGTTAGGCTTCTAAAAACACTGTTCTATCCAAAAAAATTAAAGTTTAAAAATAATCAAGCTTGTTGTATGAATACAGCCAACAATATGGCTAATATTGGGGAACATTGTAGACAGTGCAATACCCAAGACCTTAGTTTCACATTTGATGCTTTTATACCACAGCTGCTATCTGCCTACCAACTCAGGATTATATCAGACATCTGTTTGGTTCAAAATACTTTGATAATTAAATTAGCTACACAGGAAACAGATGTAAAACTTTCCTTTCCCTGATGTATTTATGCATTCCCTGCTCATAGGAGCATCAATACTGAAATGGCCTTCTGGGGCAAAATAAACAGAACTGAGACAATGTTGGAGGTGAATTTTTCTTTCCAAGCCTTATAAGTACAAATGTAAATAGGGGGAATCCATTCCTATTTTTATATAAATTGATTTATGTACTTTTCATGACAGGTTTAACCCTAAGTAAACCCATGGGTCAAATTATGTTAAATTATTTGAAGATTTTGACTGATTTGGAATTATTTTTGGGTGTAAAAAAGTCAAGTTATTAGAGTAATTTAGATAGGCTTCCCTTATCAAAATAATTTGGAACACAGTATAAAGTAATGCCCTATACCAGGGCTTTTCAACCTTTTCATCCATTGTACCACTTTTAGGATATAGCAGTATCTGAGTACCACCAGTCACCTAGCAGTGTCAAAAACTTGATGACCAAAAAAGAAAAAAACTGACGAAGGTAGTCCTCGACTTACAACAGTTCGCTTAGTGACTGTTCGAAGTTACAATGGCACTGAAAAAAGTGCCCCCCTAGCCGCAGTCGAGCAAGACACCTGCCTGCCCACCCGGCAGCACTCTTCCTCCTGTCCAAGATTTTCATCGTTGTGAGCATTTCTGTTGAGGTTTGGCAGCGGGGGTGGGGTGGGGGTGTTTGGTTTTTATTCCCCCCCATCTGCTGGGTGGTTGCAGCATGTTTTGGTTACTTCACATGACCCTCGGACACTGTGACCATCATAAATATGAATCAGTTGCCAAGCATCTGAATGTAAATCATAAGACCCTGGAGATGCTGCAACATTCCAGCTGATCGGCGCGTCTTCTGGGCTCAGCAGAAGTGCCAGGATCGGCGCCCAGCTCCAGCTGGAGCCTGGCGCTGCTCCTGATGCTTCCACTGAGCCCTGACAGTCCCGAAAAAGCGCTGATCCTGGTGCTTCCACTGAGCCCTGACAGCCTTGCAGCTCCAGCCATCTCTCATTCAGGCTTGTATGGTGCTGCCACTGGTTCAGCTCATTCCCCTCCCCCACTACCACTTTTCTAGAATGGCCGCGTACCACCTGCCAGATGCCAATGTACCACAGGTTGTACCCGTACCACTGGTTGAAAAGCCTTGCCCTATACTCCAGTAAAGGACCTTTTCAAAATTACTATTAATTTACAACAACTTTAAAATTCTGAAATATCCCAAAACAACAATAGAGAAAAGAATGGAGAACAAAGCTAATATATTTAAAATTGCTTAGAATCCTCAGAAGCAAATGTTCTAATGGCCAATCTGGAACCCAAAGGAAGATACATCAGTCTAAGTAAGCTACTGTTACAGAGGAAACTTACCTGTATTTCCAACCTAAATGCTATTAATCTAAAAGCCATAAAAGAGAAAATTCCAGCTTTCATGACAATAAAACACAGTTAACCTGAATGACACAGTAAATCATGTTTAAAACTGTTTAACTGTTTAAAACACGGCCAAATCACATACAGCATTTCTACAGTGGTAGAAGTGGAGCTAGGAAGAAGAGCTTTCTGGTCATTTTGCCCTCTAAGCTCTAGCCTAGGAACATATTTACTAAAATTATCTTGCCATACTGTCCCTCATGCGCAGACTGAAGTTGCTGGCTTGCTTGTTATATCAGATACTTGTTTTGCATGTATTTATTGATCAGTGACACTAGAAAATGAAGTTACCAATAGCAGTGAAACAACCCCTAGGTTGCTGAGCATTTAGGGGCAGGAGCAGGAACAGTTGAGAGGTTGTTGGAATCTCGAGGTGGGGTGTGGGGAGGAAATGTGGTTGGTTCCTTGGTGGCCCTGGGAGGTATTTAGTGAAATTGTCCCTACCCATGACATGATTATGAATGAGGTAGCCATTTTAGCATGTATGACCAAGACCTGAGTGGATTCAGAGATATGGATATAAGATCCTGATAGCGGGCTTTAGGGAGCAAGTAAGTTTTGTGCTGCTGTACTTCATCATTAGGTTAGCAATTGAGTCTCCAAGCTGATATTTCTTGGGAATCTTTACATTGTACCTAGGTAGGACAGAAACTTGGAGCAGCTCATTAGTTCATGGCCCCCTGGTAGTCAGATGCCTGATCCACATCATTCATGCCCCCCCCCAAGAAGCCAGGTATGTGCCTGACACATACCAGGGATTGCACACTAGATCTGGTTTTGTTTCAGGGCAATTGTAGCATGATCTGGTAGTGGAAGGTATTATCACCAGTTCTTGCTATGGTGTAATCACTCTTTGATCACTTTTGTGCTTAGTGAAGCTGCCTCACTCTGCAAGGAGCTAGGACTCTTAGGCTACTGAGATAACTTGAAATTTCTCTAAGGATCTAGTGCAGGCATGTCAAACTGCAGGCCAGATGCATCATACTGAAACCGTGCCCACCCCATTGCTGACAATGGGGGAAAAGTCGCGATATGTCATGTGACGTCACGAGTTTGACATGCCTGATTTAGTGGGCAATTGAACCAAGGCATTAGTTGTGACCTGGAATGGGCATATAAAGAGGGTCTTAGATTGGATTGTTTCTGTATGGCTTTCACTTTGTGACAACCCTGGTTCTCTGAAGGATTCCAAAAGGTGAAGCACCAAGTAAGCAGAATGCCATTAGTGAACTATTAAAGTGAGCTCTCTAATCATAAATAAGAGCACCTTGGGATAGAAATGTGGGATAAAAGCAGCAAAACATATTTTTTACACTCTTCTCACAGAAAAATAGACATCCAACAGTCTTGTTTAAAAGACTTGGTTTTTTTTCCATTTCAGTTTGGAGAGGGATAACTCACAGGATCATCTAATGAGCCATTCTTATCTAGTTATCTGACAAAATTACTTGAATTTGCTTGAAGTTAAACTCCAACTGTGAAACTCCTTGCATAGTTCAGTGGAATAGATTTGAATCTATCACTTCTAAGACAGTTGACAATATCCTCAAAATTCTGAATCCAATCATCTATTACAGTGATGGTGAATCTTTTAGAGACTGAGTGCCCAAACTGCAACCCAAAACCCATTTATGTATCGTCGGGTGCCGAGTGGGCGTGGCCCATTGGGTGAGTGTGGCCAATTGGGTGGGCATGGCCAATTGGGTGGGCGTGGCTGCAGTGGTAATGGCAGACTGGGTGGGACTAAAATGTTTAATCAATCAATTCACGAGATCTTTTTTTCCGTGAGAAATTGAAATTGATTGATTAAACCTTTTTTTTTTTGCACATGGCAGCAGAGGCCTAAAGCGAAAAGGTTTTATAAAACCCAGCTGAAGCCCTAGAACTGGGGCGAGGGCACACGTGCCCACAGAGAGGGCTCTGCGTGCCATCTGTGGCACGCGTGCCATAAATTCACTACCATGGATCTATTAGATCCTTTTCCTTTTGGCCCATGAAGGCCAGATAGGAAATGACATTTGGTGGGATCTATGCAATAGTATCAGCTTTCCTAAGGGGGGGAATGGTTGCTTCTCTTCAAGTCATCATTGAAGCCACTAGTCCAACACAACTTTAAGCCAGTCTCCAACTTTTTGAGGGAAAAGTTGTTGAAAGGGCGGTCAGGAAGATTTGGAGGAAAAAGACTTTCTGTTAGATTTCTAGGAGAAGAATGCATTGATAACACTGATGATGCTTACTGATGATTTCTAGTGAGCTAGCATTGGTAGTGCAAGCCTCCAGGCTCTCCTTGATCTCTTAGTAGCTTTTAGTACTATCAGTCATAGTATTTCTCTGAACCACTATGCAAGGGGAACCTTCAAAGGTCACCACAAACCATTCTTTCCCTGTGTTGTTTTGTCTCTTGAGACTAAGAGAGCAAAATGGGTAAAGGATTAAATCTAGGGCTCTAATTGCAGAAGAAAGACACTGTTAGCACCTGAGTTTTGTTGGGTGTGTTGAAAAAAAATATTTGTTGTGTAGAAGAAGAGAGGAAATTGCAGAGGATAATGTAGAATAGATATCAGGATAAAATGCAATACAGCAAGCAACTGAAAGCAAAGAAGGCACAGTCACAGATTTTAGCAAACAAACAACAGATGAGCTGAAAGGGGAAGTGCAGCCTGGAAGCCACTCTATTCCAGCAGAAGACACTAATAGCCTAGGGTTTGTCAGCAGCTCGCCTTCTCCTGTCTCTGTCTTCCAAATACAGTCTAAACATTTTTACAAAATCAGTGCTTCAGAAGCAGTTCAGAATGACAGCCAATAGTGCTGAAGCTGATGAACCAGAAAACAAGCCACCAACAAGCCAATTAGCTCCAATGGTAGCTAAACAGTTACGGCTCAAATAAGCATACCTGCATGTGTAAGAAGAAAATAAACATATATAGGACTTTTTGAGATTTAGATATATATTACATGTAGCAATAAACATACAGTATATTACTATATAGTATAGGTTTACCCACTGACCTACTAACATGATATAGCTGACTAGCTAAAACAGCGGTTCTCAACCTATGGGTCGCGACCCCATTTGGGGTCGATCGACCATTTTTCGGGGGTCGCCAAAGAAGGCGATCCGCCATTTTCTCCCCTCAGGGGGCGCCGCCGCGCATGCGCGCCACGCTGCACATGCGCAGAACGTTTGTGTGACGGGGGTCGCCGTCACACAAAATTGAGAACCACTGAACTAAAACTACATTACCCATAAGCCATCTCTTAAGGAGACAGCAGTTAACCCAATAAATGCCAGATATTCTAACATACAGACCTACGTGGTCCAGAACAGGTTTGACTAGAAGTTAAAAAGTCAGTGTCATAAAATTTATTAAGCATTTTAGTATGGTAAAAAAAACTTTCTTGAAATGTAGGGAACACAACACTAGTCTTATAGGTTGTCTGTGTCATTTTACAACTACCCTATCTTGATTAAGAAGGGATTCTATTTTAAGTGTTCCTCTATCTATATGGGTGGCTCCAATCAGTGTGGGCAGGAGAGGAAAGTTCAAGCCTAAACCCCCCTAATGTATGAAGTATTCCAAAGCTTGACATTATTCCTGGGTAAAGTCATCCATCAATTTAAAGCATGTTGATGATTCCCATCTGTGTATTTTGAACCTGGGCTGACGCTATCAAGATCTTGTCCCAGTGCCTAGAGATTGTGAGGATCTGAACAAGGAGAAAAAGATTCAGATCAACTCTTGTAACATGGATTGGCTATCAGTATTTGACCCACCTAATTCCAGAAATGTTCAATTTTATGGTTGGATGCACTTCTCCATTTGAGATTGATGTGAATTTGTTTTATTTATTTATAAAATTTTTGCGTAAATCCAGGCAGCTCACAGTCATAAAAATATGTCTCTACATATAAAATTAAAACATAATTAAAATCAAACATTAAAACCCAAGGACACATGGGGAGGGTGGGGCTGGAGGGTAGAGAGGTGGGATCTGTTGTTATTCGATCAACCACTCCACTGTACTGTTCCCCTAGACTTGCACCTCTTATTTGAAGAGCAAGGGGCAGCTGTGGCTAGTAAAATCAGGTCCATCTTGTATGCCATTGCTACTGTTCCTGAAAAAATAACTCATGCCCTGGTCATATTGCATATAGACTGTTGCAACCTGCTTTACATAGGACTGCCCTTGAAGACTAGTTCATAAGATAGCAGTATGGACAGCAATGGGCCTGCATGGGATGCATATGCAACATCACTGCTTCATCACCTCCACTGATTGCCAGATGTGTTTAAGTACTTGTTACTGTTTATAAAGCTCTTCATAACATAGCTCTAGCTACCTGAGGAATTGTCTGTCTCCATCAGTGTCTGCACATTCCATGCAATTGGGTAGAGTTGGGATGCTCTTAAACAACATCATATGATGGGACCTAGAAAGTGTTGTAGCAGCTTTCCTCTGGAACAGCATCGCCTCAGAGATCTTTGGCTCCTTTCCTGGTTTCATTCAAAAGGTATTTTAAAATATGGTTTTACTACAGGCCTTGACAAGCTTCTTACAGGATTGTATGTGTTGGTTAGGATCCTTTTTTTTCCTTCTGAACAAACATAATTCTTTTATTTTTGTTATTGTTCTGTACTGTTTTTTGTAAGTATTGTGTAACATAGCAATAGAAAGTAGCTTTATATACATGTTAAACAAATGTTAAAAAATAAATACTTGTATATTAGCATAGGTGGATATGAACAAGCACTGCTGTAATGATCTTGCTGGCAGGTTGATTCAAAGCATTAGTATTTCTGCTTTATTAATTCTGCATTGCACTTAATGGATTAATTTATAAATATATTAATTGAAGGAGTGGAAGAAGCTTGAGCCAATTAGATCAAATAAGGATTATTAGTAGGCCCGTGCAAATCAGCCTAATTTTATTTTGATCAAAGATCTGAAATTCAAAGCAGTTCGCAATTTAAAGACAATTTGATTTGATCTGAGATTCAATTTTTTAAAAAAGTCTACAGGCAGTCAAGGAAGAATATTAATACAGTGCAGATTGAAATTGTTTCAGTTTTTAATAGAATAGATTAAACTTGGATGGTAGAATCTTTTGAATACAATTAATACTACCAAGTTTTAGAGGCAATTCTTCAAGGATTTTATTGCAATAAGTTTTTGAAATATTTCCTCTACATCTTTTTTGAGACAGAGAGATGGAAGGGATTAGGAAAGAACTATACAGCAACCTCTGGTTTGTGTAGCAAAGAGCCTCTTTCCTGCTATTAAATGAAAGTACTTTCCATCCTTGGATTGGCAAATATATTGCTGCTTATATTGCCAGGCACTATTCTGTCTTGATTGCCTCTGTTTTGGCTCAGTGCTGAGTGTTATTGTCTTGATTATGGATACACAGTCTGTGATGGGCAAAATGATTGGTTATGTTTTCCATCTTTGCTCTCCTACTTCTTCTGTACATAACCAGCAGCTGGGAAAAGTGCCCACCAATTACGATGCTGCAACAAGCATGGACTTGCAAGAAGTTATTGATCATCTATGGCAGGGGTGTCAAACTGCCGGCCTGCAGGCTGGATGTGTCACGAAGAAGCCATGCCCACCCCATTTCCGGCAATGGCAAAACAGCCCCAATACGTTGCACGACATCACGTGACGTCGCACTTTTGACATGTCTGATTTATGGGCTCCTTTTTCTTACAACACATTTTATCATAACCAAACCTGAACATTTTTTAAAAAATATTTTAATTAGGATTGCATTTTCTTTCATTTTCTTTATGTATATATAGAGAGAACAGATGGCCAGTTCCTGATTTTTCTGTGGTCTGTCCTGGAGATAATTTTAGGGAGGGGAGTTTAGTCATTCCTTAGTTGGGCTATATAGACTTGAATTAGGATCATGCCTGACTAGTCTTGTTTTCTGCACAGGTTTGACAAACAAACAGCATAACAGTGCTTGTCCAACTCTTTAGGAAATGATAACAAAGCAGTTGTAGGTGAGGCTGGCAGAGGATTGAAGAAGAAGTGCTGGATGGCCAGTAAGTGCTTCTTTAACCGCTACTTAGCGATTATTAGTAACTAGGCTTCATTTCCAGCATCTATTAAAGCTAAGGACAACTTAAGCCTGACTTATTCATGGTCAGAGACAAGATGAAAGTAATATGATAAGGATACTGGAGAAAAGGGCATGTTTTTGCTATGGGTTAGGTGCAAGAGAAGATATAGTCTACTGTAAATTGTGTGGAACAAATACATAACTTATCTTACTCAGAAGTTTTCAGAAATGGATTATAAAGAACCACTTACTTTTCCAGCTGCTTTTTTTTTTTTTTTTGAAAACCTCTACTGACTTGTCCTTTTGGGATAATTAGGCTTGCTGCTTCCAATTATTGGATTTTTCTTGATCCCTGTTGGAACATACCTCCACCCATCCATTACTAGCAGGATGCAGTTATATCAAGGTTGTGGCTTGCTGTTAATGCTTTTATGTTGCTTAATCAACAGAGGCAGCAGAACAAGCTGTTGTATGAAATACAACGCCACAGAAATTGGCAAATACAAAAGCATGGCATTTGGAGCCTTACTGATCCTTATTCTCAAAACCAAACATATAAGACAAATGCATTATGTATTAACCATTCATTCATTCATGCATTGGGTCATAAAGTCCCAATTGTACATAATTTATAAATAAGATTTGACTCAGCAGCATGTATCAGACTGGTAAACTAAGCTGAATTCCCAGCAGTACTAAGAGGATCAATGGGGAAATATAACATTCTGTTAGCAGAAGAGAGAGGAAAGTTTGGAGCTCTATTAAGGAAGCTGAGAAAGTGACTGAAAGAAGCATGATAGGTATTTATTAATGAGATGATAAACCTTATTGGCCACTTACTTAATCTGTATCACACAACCCACCATAACACTGTTTCCCCTCCCAAGTATTCTCCCACTAGTGGGAAATGAAATTGTAATATCATTGTCTGTAACAACCTCAGAAGCAGCAGAAAAATCTTGAATCTATAAGGTTATTAAGACTATTAAGTACTTCAGAGCCATATTATTTAATTCTATCAAGAGTAGATCTCTACTTCATTAAGCAACTAGATGGGTGTGGAAAACACAATACTGTTTACCTGTTAGTGAAAAATGTGGGAACAAAACTGTATCACCCAGCCCAACTTGTGTAGCCAGCCCAAAAGGATATATCATAGTCATGGTATCAAAAGGCCACTAAGGTCAAGGAGAGCAAAGAGTTGCACTACTCTATCTTGCTCTTGCCAGAGATCATGAGTGTGACCAAAGCTGTCTCTATCCCATAGCTGGGCCTGAATCCTGACTGAAAAGGCTCCAGGAAATCCATTTCGTCCACGACCTCCTGGAGCCTGCAAGCAACGAATTCTGCCATTACCTTCCCGAAAAAGGGAAGATAAGAGACTGGACAAAAGTTACCCAGGCAAGTTGGGTCGAGTGATAGTTTTTTAAAGGGAGGACAAACCAGGGCCTCCTTAAAAGCTCCTAATAATGCCCCCCCTTGCAGTGAGGAATTTATCACTACATGAACCCACCTGTGATCACCTTCTTAGAGGCTTCACCAGCCAGGAGGACAAGGATCTAATTGACAGGTGATTGCATTGACAGCATAGACTATCCTGTCCACTTCCTTAAATCCAAGAGAGTCAAGATTGTTCCCAAATTACTGGGCAGGACATCTCCCCTAGGCATCTGATCACAAGGGTTCTAACTGGGAACAAACCCAAGCAATTTTTAACTGACGGTGTGTAACAAATTCTTCTGCACAGCCCTGAAGATATTCATCCCACCCCTTATCCCCCAGTCTAGGTGGGATTGGGTGATATGGAACAGGATTGAAGAGTGACACACTGTGAATGAAATAAGAGCAGAGAAATAATGTTTCACCACTTTTATCACCACAAGATAGGCCTTAATAGAAGCTCTAAGACATGTTCAGTTTTCCTCCAGCAATACTTTAGGCATTCTTAACCCATTTCAGTTTCTCCATGAACCACAGAGAACAACGAGAATGAGAGGTTTGTGAGAGGTCACTTAGGTGCAGTCCTGTCCAGAGCCTCAGTGGCCTTTTGGTTCCAAACCATTATTAAAGCTTCAGCATGACTGCTGAATCCATCAGGATATCCCCAGTTCCTTCTGGAACCTATTTGGGTCCAATCTAATGGATCCAATCTTACAGCAGAGAATCTCAGGAATAATCAAAGTTGTAGCACAACACAGATCTTGCCCTTCATTTGTCAAAAAGGAGGTACACTAGTTTGTGATTAAGGAACATGCTAAATAGATTACTCAGCTTTTGGGCCCATTTTTATGTTTAAAAATTCTCCTGTTAAAGAGCACTGCTAGTATGCAGATTCTGGAAATTGTCCAAAATACAAACTAATGCAAATGTTAAAAGTCTTTTACGAAAGAATAAAAATACATGAGTAAAGAATAGCTCTAAGTGGAATGCGGCAATAAAGTACATAAATACCAGTTTCAAATTTCTTAGATGCTATGTTTATATTCTTTAAGTGTAATTCTTTAAGTTCAGTGAGGACAAGTTAAACAAAAATCTACTAGGAATCAATGATTGGCAAGCATATTCATATGATGCAATGTACCAAGATACTTCTCTAGGGTGGAGTTTCCTGAACATAACTGTATTTTTGCCTATGTTGCTAATTAAAACAGTGATACAAGAATTTGTTAAATGAAGATAGAAAAGATGGGAGCATTCTCTATTATTTTTTTGTGGGTGATGCAGTGCATTTTCCCCAAATGAGGCAATCCAGATGTATTGGATTTCACTCCCTAAATTCCCATTCTGAATATCCTTTGCTGGTTAGGAATTATGAAAGTTAAAATCTAGCATATCTGGAGAACGTCAAGTTATAAAAGGTGTTTAATGAGCAACAAATATGTCTGTGTTTAAGCCAAAATAATAATAATTGAACTAGGAAAATGCTGTTAGAATGGCTAAAGCACCATATCCCAACATAGGGAAGAAAACTGTGTTCGCCTGGGGATAGGTTTACACATTTTTATATCCACATGAGAAAACTTCCTTCAAGCATTACCTCTGCTAAGGAGGCCCTTATATGCCACATATTTTTTGCATAAGTTACAAAACATACCCTAAAGACTTAATAATGTTTTTTTATTATTATTCCTAGGGAATAATAAAGGAATCTGTCCCTGAAGCAGAAAATGGCAAGGAATATCTGCCCTTTCTTCCCCCTTCTCTTTTCGGATAAAGATGATTCTCCAAATAACATTTAAAAAAAGAAAAAGTAAAGAAAACATGTAAAAACTGTTTTATTTTTAAGTAGTTGCAAATAAAATGTTTGTTTATTTGTTCAATTTCTATATCTGCCCATCTTTGTAAATGACCCTGGGCAGCTTACAATTCAGAACATATATTACAATTAAAAAAAATGTTTTAAAACTATAAAACCAGTAGAAAACATTAAAACATCCAATTTAAAATATTTGGCTCTTTAGCAATATAGCCAGGAAACAGCTATATTGGCATATAGCTCGGGAACATAGTCAGGAGCATGAAGTGGCAAAGAAGATACAACTACACAACTGTTGCTATCATGAGCAATGATGGTATTACCCCTCTCAAGGTGATGCTGATCTTTTCCTAATATAGAGAGAAAGTGTTTCCAAGTGCCATAAAACACATCCTCACAGAGCTTCTATAAACAATGTTAAAATTGGGATAAAATATTAGGTTTATACACAAAAAAAATACAAAATAAATTTATGCTAATTTTTTTCTGCTATTTTTTAACACATTCTTTAAGATACCTGTTTTCTTAAAAGCAATACCCACTGACTCAGTAATTCCTAGTGTCTTCGGATTCAACTTCCATAGCTTTTGGAAAGATGGAATAAACCCTACTTCTCTTCTCATCCTTGGTTTCCAACTTCTTTTTTTTAACACAGTCCATTCAAATATGTATCGGAAGTCTTGTATTGATGGTTGAACCTATTCTTCCCTACAATCAATCAATCAATCAATCAAATATGCTGTTGATCTAATAGTAACTAACAGGACATACATTTAAATAAATCCTATGCGAATTATCTTTTATTCTCTCACTATAGATAAGTGAGAAAAGTCAAGAGGAAAAAGTTAACTGCATTCATTCTTAGTTGTTTAGATTTTTTGTACACCCTGTATCTAAATCTTAAAGCACATTTCACATTTTATATATGCATATTTTCTTTTTCTAAAAAAAAAGAAAATATGCATATATAAAGCATAAAATAAAACTTCCACAGAATTCTGCACTATTGTGCTGGCTTCCAGTTTTGTTCCATGTACACTTCAAGGCTGATTATCCCTTTTAAAGCCCTGTATGACACAAGGCCATATTATTTGCAGGACTGTCTTTCTCTAAGGACATCTACGTGTCTTACCAAGTCAGATAAATAAGCATACATAGTTTTTCTCCACACTTATTGCACCTGAAATGTTGTCAAAAGGACTTTAACAAATGTCAATAAGTAACATAAAAATGTCTGAACGGTGAATATGACAGTATCTGGAAACAGCAGAAGACAAAAGAAAGAACTAGAGAAGATAATAAAATACAGAGACCTGCAAATAGAAATAGAATGACTGTGGCAAAAGAAAGCAAATAGGCACCTTGGGTGCAATCCCGAAAGAACTGGAGCACTACTTGAATACTATTGGTATTGGCAAAATCACTATTGGACAATTGCAAAAGGCAGTTTTACTTGGAACAACTTGGGGTAATTTAATTATGCATTGCTGCCACTAAAATTCCATATGGATATATCTACGTAATCAACAGGGGTAGAGTACAATTCACAATAATATCTTGTGTATCTTAACATATGGCATACCACTTTGCTAATTGATAAACACATAGGCTTACCGAAGGGGGAAAAAATTCTATACATAAAATTTAATTTTTTTTTAAATGGCTACTTTTTAAAAAAAACTGTCTCAGTTACAGGTGATTATAATAAAAGGAGATATTTCTAACCTGTACTTTCCTATTCTTCAAAGAGAAATAATTCCAACTAATATTTCTTACTCTTCTGGGAAAATGCTCCATTAAGTCTTCAATGATCCATGTATCACATAATTCAGGGCCATTTGTGTTTTTCAAGAAGTGAACCAGCTTTACACTGTGCTCTCACTGAAATTACGGATCTGAAATTTTTTTTAATGGCACAAAGCAGAAGGACGGAGGGATCAATAGACCTAGAATTCTTTTTCTTATATTAACAGAAAAATAGAAAATAAAGCTGTCATTCCAAAACATCATTGGACCTAAGTCTTCATGTTTGATCTTCAAGCAATAGGGAGAAAGCAGAACTATTTAACTCGTTTTTTGCATTCTATCTTTACACAAAGGGAAAAAACAGACCAACCTATCAAAAATAGTGCCATAAAAAACAGAATAGAAACACAAGTTAAGATAAGCAAGAAAACGGTAAGTGAGCACCTGTCCAACCTAGACGAGTTCAAATCACCAGGACCAGATGGATTACACCCCAGGGTTCTCAAGGAACTGGCAGATGTGATCTCAGAACCATTGAACTACATTTTTCAAAGATCTTGGAACACTGGGGAACTACCAGAGGACTGGAAAAGAGCTGATGTAGTTCTCATCTTCAAAAAAGGAAAAAAATGGATCCAGGAAATTACAGACCTATCAGCCTGACCTCAATACCTGGGAAGATTCTGGAAAAGATATTCAAACAACGAGTCAGCGAACACCTAGAGGCGAACAAAGTCATTACTAAAAGCCAACGTGGGTTTGTCAAAAACAGATCATACAGACAAATCTTATTGCATTTTTTGACCAAGTGACAAAATTAGTGGACCAGAGGAATGCTGTGGATATAATTTACTTGGACTTCAGTAAAGCATTTGATAAAGTAGATTACAACCTACTACTTGATAAGATAGAAAAAGGTGGGTTAGACAGCATCACCATCAGATGAATCCGTAGCTGGCTGACCGGCCCTACTCAGCCTGTGGTCCTCAATAGAACCGCATCTACATGGAGGGAAGTGTGTAGTGGGGTGCCCCAAGGCTCTGATCTGGGCCCAGTGCTTCCACATCTTCATCAACGATTTGGACGAGGGGATACATGGGGAATCATCAAATTTGTAGATAACACCAAGCTGGCAGGAATAGCCAACACTCCAAAAGACAGGCTTAAAATATAGGAGGATCTGGACAGACTTGAACATTGGGTGCTATCTAACAAAATGAAATTCAATGGTGAAAAAAGGTTCTACATTTAGGTAAGAAAAACCAAATGTACAGGTATAGTATAGAGGGTACCTTGCTCAATAGTAGTAACTGTGAGAGGGATCTCAGAGTCCTAGTGGACAATCACTTAAATATGAGCCAGCAATATGCTGCAGCTGCCAAAAAAGCCAACACAGTGCTAGGCTGCATTAACAGGGATAGAATCAAGATCATGTGAAGTATTAATACCACTTTACAACGCCTTGGTAAGGCCACACTTAGAATACTGCATCCAGTTTTGGTCACCATGATGTAAAAAAGATGTTGAGACTCTAGAAAGTGTATAGAGAAGAGCAACAAAGATGATTAGGGGACTGGAGGCTAAAACGTATTAGGAACAGTTGCTGGAATTGGGTATGTCTAGTTTAATGAAGAGAAGGACGAGGGGGGACGTGATAGTAGTGTTCCAATATCTCGGGCTGCCACAAAGAAGAGGGAGTCAAACTATTTTCCAAAGCGCCTGAAGGCAAGACAAGAAGCAATGGATGGAAACCAATCAAGGAGAGAAGCAACCTAGAATTAAGGAGAAACTTCCTGACAGTTAGAACAATTAACCAGTGGAACAACCTGCCTCCAGAAGCAGTGAATGCTCCAACACTGGAAGTTTTTAAGAAGAGACTGGACAGCCATTTGTACGAAATGGTATAGGGCAGTGGTTCTCAACCTTTTTAATGCCGCGACCCCCAACCGATCGTAAGTTGAGGACTACTCAACTGGTGCAGCACCGTTTGCAGAATGGGACTTTTGGCGGGCTCAGCAGGGCAGAGACAGCCTGGGCAATTCCTATTGGCTTTTGAAAGCAAATAGAATTAGACTCTATTCAAGAGAGTCTATTCTATTGGCTTTCAAAAGCCAATAGAATAAAAGGGAGTAGCACAGCTAAGGAAAAGGGGGGAAAAATGGCAGACTGCGTTGTTTGGCGACCCCCATGAAATGGTCATTCGACCCCAAATGGGGTCCCGACCCACAGGTTGAGAACCACTGGTATAGGGTTACCTGCCTGAGCAGGGGGTTGGACTTGATGACCTCCAAGGTCCCTTCCAATGTTATTACTATTAACTCTAAACAAAAATAATTTTATTTTTCTGTCATAGCTTCATCCTACATTCTCTTTTTTGATTACAAAAACCACCATATGTATGGCAAGCTATTGCCCATTTAATCATGCTTACTGAACAAAACAATCAGCTGAGTTCACACTGCTAAACCATAACTCATGGTTATATTCTATAATGTCTGGGGTCATTCATTGTGCTAATTAAAATTATTATGACTGCAGCTATGTCCGCACAACATACCAAACTTTGGTTAATTAATCACAATGGTTAGATCAGTGGTTCTCAACCTGTGGGTCGGGACCCCATTTGGGGTCGAACGACCATTTCACAGGGGTCGCCAAACAACGCAGTCAGCCATTTTTTTCCCCTTTTCCTTAGCTGTGCTACTCCCTTTTATTCTATTGGCTTTTGAATGCCAATAGAATAGACTCTCTTGAATAGAGTCTAATTCTATTGGCTTTCAAAAGCCAATAGGAATTGTCCAGGCTGTCTCTGCCCTGCTGAGCCTGCCAAAAGCCCCATTCTACAATCGGTGCTGCATCAGTTGAGTAGTCCTCGACTTACGACCGGTTGGGGATCGCGGCATTAAAAAAGTTGAGAACCACTGGGTTAGATGGACCATACGCTAAATTTAACTACCATATTTTGTAGTCAGAATCTATGAACTGAGCCAATAGCGCTTTTTTCCCACACACACATCCCCCTCCAAACCCTAAACTATATAAAACAACTCAAATTATCTTTCTATGTATACATAACAGCATTCCTAAAAAAAATAGTTGTTGGGATTTTTTTTATTTCCTTTTTATTTTGCTCTTCAGCAGGAAATACTTCTATTTAAACTTCGTCATCTGAACCTTATTTGTGTTCTCTCTAAAGTGTTATACCTTTTGAACTTTCTTCCCCATTCCTGTTTACTCAACTTACACATCAAATACACATCTCACCATTAGATAGTACAAAGTCTGAACACTACCCCTTTGTTGGCTATCTACTTACTTGGGTGTGTCATTGAATTTGCTAGATTGAGGTATTGCACTAACGCTTACTGTGTTTTATTGGATTTGGCAGAGTTGGTATGTGAATCCAACCTCTGAGTTTGTAAATTAGAAGTTGAGTGAACCAGATCTTCATGTAATTTTCAACAGACCATAATTAGGATAATCCATGCAGACCAGACTTCAATAGGACTTAGGATCGAGTAAATACAGATGCCTAAACTGTAACTCTGCACTTGCTCAATTGACAAAGAACTAACTTCGTATAAATGTGCTGTCATCAGCCTGCTGCTTTCTGTTGCTGACCACCCCGCTTCTGTGTTTCAGACGATTGTCCTCTTTTTGGCAAAATTACTGGGACTTATAAGGAATATTAAAGGAGATCAGTGCAGATACTTCTAGCGTCTTCAACTGTTGTTGTAAAACTTAGAAGCTAGTTTGATTAACCGTACTTAAACGAAATTATATAAATAGTGAAGAGAGTTTCTGGGGGAATCTAAAAGAGAACACGAAGAGAATTGCATCCACGCTTATTTAGTCATCGTAATGAATTCAGTGCAA